AAATCTTAAACTTACAATTTCTTGAAGTATATATTTAACTCTTGTCTTATCATAATTATCTCTACGCCTAATTCTATATTTTAATGTGATGATCATCGTTTTCCTTTCCATGTTGCATTGTTTTAATTTTCTTTTTCCTCTTTTGGATTTTCTCTCATCTCCCACTTTCGCATATTACTGTAAGTTACGCGCTGGTGAAAAAAAAATGAAGCTAAATATATTATAAATCATATATACATATGATTTAAAAAATTAAGTTTGTAAACTATCTGAATACCATTTATAAACTACTTACCTTCTTTATTATTTTGTTATCATGTTACCGTATCTTCCAAAACCTTTCATTTCCGTCTTTATCATTCCTGAATCTTTCTTCTTTTATCAGACATATAAATTATATATAATAAACTATTTTCAAAGAAAAGAGGAGAGGGAGAGAAACCGTTGCGGAAAAGGTGATGGAAGGTTGTAGTTTGTGTTGCTGTAGAGTATTCCTATTGTTATTATTGTCATTGATATTAATAATTATTATTGTTATTATCACCATCCTCCCTATCATCACCCTCATTATCCTCCTCCGTCGCATGAATCGTCATCACCATCATCAACCACGTGACCTTGACAATGCTTTCATCACCCTCCCGTACTTTTTTCTCCCACCATACTTGTTTATTTGTTTACATTTGCATTTAAAAGTGTTTTGGCACTGGCACCCCCCCCCCCTCTGCTCATCCCCACGTGACACGGGTCCTGCCACAGTGCCATTTGGGAGGGACTTTTTAACGGTGTTTGTCCCTTTGTCCTATCGAGGGAAGAAGGTGGTGGCTCCTTGGCTAATCCTTGGGTTGGAGGCGCGTTGCTGGGCCTTGAGGGAAACGGATGCAGATGGAGAGAAAGAGAAGGAAAGGGAGGGAGGGAGAGGGAGAGTGGGAGGGAGGGAAGGAGAGGGAGAGAGGGAAAGGGAGAGGGAGGGAGGGAGGGAGAGGGAGAGTGGGAGGGAGGGAAGGAGAGGGAGAGTGGGATGGAGGGAGAGGGAGAGGGAAACAGATGTTGATGGAGAGAAAGAGAAGGAAAGGGAGGGAGGGAGAGGGAGAGTGGGAGGGAGGGAAGGAGAGGGAGAGTGGGATGGAGGGAGAGGGAGAGGGAAACGGATGCAGATGGAGAGAAAGAGAAGGAAAGGGAGGGAGGGAGAGGGAGAGTGGGAGGGAGGGAGAGGGAGAGTGGGAGGCAGAGAGGGAAGGAGAGGGAGAGTGGGAGGAAGGGAGAAAAATGGAGGGAGGGAGAGGGAGAGTGGGAGGGAGGGAGGGAAGGAGAGGGAGAGTGGGAGGGGAGGGAGAGGGAGAGAGGGAAGGAAGGAGAGGGAGAGAGATAGGGAGGGAGACGGAGAGGGGGAGGGAGGGAAGGAGAGGGAGAGAGGGAGGGAAGGAGGGAGTGTGAGTGTGTGTGTGTGTGTGTGTGTGTGAGAGAGAGAGAGAGAGAGAGAAAGAAAGAGAGAGAGAGAAAGACAGAGAGAGAGAGAAAGACAGACAGAGAGAAAGAGAGAGAGAGAGAGAGAGAGAGAGAGAGAGAGAGAGAGAAAGAGAAAGTAGTAGTGAGCGAATGGAGGAAACTGACAGGGATAAAGAAAAATACCGAGAAGTCAAACCAAAAATGGGGAAAAAAGAAAGAAAGATAAAATTGAGGAGAGAGAAAACAAGCTTAATGCTTTGAATGAGATTTTTTGGCTTTGAGTGGAGAGAGGGGAAAGGAATGAGGTCATAACCGTCATGCTGCTCATCATCATTATCATAATGATAATCGCAATCGTCCAAATTATAATAATTAGCAACTGCACTGAACACACGCAAGCAAACACGCACGCAAGCATACACACGCATGCACACACATACACGCATGCACACACATACACGCATGCACACACACACACGCATGCACACACACACACGCATGCACACACACACACGCATGCACACACATACACGCGTGCACACACATACACGCATGTACACACGCTCATGCACACACATACACACAAACAAACAAACAAACAAACAAACAAACACACACGCACGTATATTACGATATCGGAAATTAAAAAATCAGAAAAAATCGAACATAAATAGGACGAAAAAGGAATTAAAAAAAACGAAGAGATACGTACATCTTAAATAGTTCATTACAAACAAAGAAAATTGGACAAGATAGCGGTCACCAGCCGAGAATGGAACGTCTAATTGTTGTGTCCCAGAGCGAGGCGAGAGGAGGCTTATGGGTAAAAAATCCTTATTCTTGATTGTTTGCAGACATTGTCACTTTCTGCATGTGGACGCGTTCATTTGGATGTGTATTTGTCTGCCTTTCCGTTTGTCATTCGTTTTTTTTTTTTTTTTTTTTTTTTTTTTTGTATTTCTGGCTGGGTGTGTTTGTTTCTGTTTTTTTGTTTGTTTCTGACTCTGTCATTCTTTTGCTTTCTCTCTCTCTCTCTCTCTCTCTCTCTCTCTCTCTCTCTCTCTCTCTCTCTCTCTCTCTCTCTCTCTCTCGTTCTTACTTTCTCACCCCTTCTCTCTCTCTCTCTCTCTCTCTCTCTCTCTCTCTCTCTCTCTCTCTCTCTCTCTCTCTCTCTCTCTCTCTCTCTCTCTCAACGTTCCAACAATGCTTACATTGTACGAAAGGGTCTTAAGAGTTCTGGATATTCCTCGAAGGCTTCCTAAACAGAAAAAAAGGAACCCGTAACTTTTTTTTTCCTATTTATCATAATACGGCTGTTAGACTATTATAATATTAACGAGTGATCGTAATAATGATGGCGATGTAACATAATTGATCATGATAACAGTAATAAAAAAAAATGTTAATAACAAAAATAATACCAACCTCCCGAATCCCACCTTACCGTCCCCGCCCCAGTGCCAGAGTGCCAGTGCCAGCGCTCCCTCACCGGGCCATTATAGAGCATTACCATCGGCACCGATTTCACAACGAGCGGCGCGATGAGTCTGTCCTCGAAGGGGTCGCTGATGAGACTGAAGTGGGTCCAATTGGCGCCACTTCCTCCGTCGCGACACACCGGACGCGATCGTAGCGAGGGTAAACAAAGGGGGAATTAATTACAAGGACGGCGGGTGATTGATGAATCTTCGGCGAGGATGTTGATAAGGAGAATGATGGATGATAAGGACGGTGATAAGGGTGGGGAGGATTGGATGGGTCAGTTGGGAAGGACGGGGATGGTGGAACAAGATGCTGATAAAGATTGTGAAGTAACAAAGACACGGATAATAACTATTATGATTAACAAGGACAATGGCAGAGGGCAAGAGACATTGACAGATGTAATAAATGGCTAAGTGAGTGACAGACTTAAGTGACAAGGACGTGACAATTGGCAAAAGTCACTGACATCAACACTGACAGTGACGAGTGATAAGGAGACTGACAAATATTAAAATAACAGACATCTAACATTATGGAAGGACAATGACAGAAATAGAGAAGATAATAAAGGAAATAGGACAACCTGACATATTTATTTGATTATTTGCAAAGTCACGGACAAAGAAAAAGATTGTTTAAGATTACTTCAGTGATGGGGGGACAAGTAATGAAACTTTTATGTTAATTTCGGATCCGACACTCTGACTCATGTCAAAAAAAAAAAAAAAAAAACGCACAAAAAAGTAATATTAACCTAAAAAGAAAATATCAACTTAGCGCTCCTTTTATCCTCGAAAAATAAAACTAGTAAAGGTTTCACATAATTTCAAATAAGTGTCTTGCCTCATTCATCCTCATTTAAAGTGAGTTTATATACAAAACATATTACGAGATAGAGCGGAGGGCAAAAGACTGCTTTCTCAGTATTTTCCTCGAATATTGTAAGGAAGTGACTGTCTCGCTTCACACACGTGGTCGGGTGTAAAGTGATTTTTTGAGGAAATTACATAATTTTGAAAGAAAGAAGGGATGAAAGAGAAGGAGGGGGGGGGGAGATGGGGCAGATACAGAAGAGGGAAATGGAAAGGGAGACATAGAGAGAGAGATAAAGTCAGTCAGTTCAGATAGATATACAAGCAGAAATCACACGTAGGAATACAAACTGACCAACGTGAATTATAACTGTTACATAAAAATTATGTATATACCCCTCCCCCCCTCTCTCTCTTTATCGATCTCTCTCCCTCACACACACACACACACACACACACACACACACACACACACACACACACACACACACACACACACACACACACACACACACACACGCACACACACACAAGGTACTGCACAAAAGCACACACTCACAGTTATTAATAGGAACACACGCAACATGTACAACATCCTATCACAGAATAAACCAGAATGTTGATAACAGTAATTTCTGTTTATAGACAGCAAGAAATTATGAGGTTTGTTTATGGTTGGAGAAACATTCGAACAAATGAGGCATTGAAGACTCGAAACGCTAAAAATCCGAACACACAAAAGGGGATTCGAACAGATGATAAGGGATTCGAACACAAACTTAAAAACCGGGAAACAAATGAATGTCGAAGAAATTGGATGGACAAATATATTTATATATCATAGTATGTGTTTATATATATATAGTTGTGTTATCGATTAGAGAAGAGAGTGAAAGAGAGAGAAATAAATTAAGTGAAAGAGGGAGAGGTAGAAAAATGAGGGAGACGGCATAAAAAAAGAAAAAAAAATATCACAATCAGTTAAGACATGCTACAACAATTAATAAAAAGATGTTGACACAAGAAAAAAAACAAATCATCTGCAATCTGAGAGCATTTCCATGAAAGAATGTAGGAAAAAGAAATCTGAGAATATGTGTGTAAAATAGATCAGTAAAACAAGCAGTATATTTTAACATGGTAATTTTTTAGAGTGACAGCAAGACATTAAGACAGACAAATAGATCGATAAATAGATAGATAAACGCCTGTATCCAACCAAGCGACTGATTCTAACCACTTCATCTCTCTCCTGCAGGTGGCGTGGACGGCGGCGTGCAGCGTGGTTTTCTACGTGGACTACATGCGCTATAAGAAAGAACCGCAGTATTATTACGTTCGCCGGATGCTTGGGGTCTGTGGTGCTTCCTTGGCTGTTTGGGATTGAAAAGAGAGAGAGAGAGAGAGCGTGCTTGTGTGTGTGTGTGTGTGCATGTATGTGTGTGTGGTGTGTGAGTGTCCGTATCCCTGTACATTTCAATATGCATGAATATGTATGTATAGGTATCTACATCTTATAATCCGTACCATGTACTGACATTGCACGGATTTACACACCCGCGAGTAGAAACATATATATATTAAAAAAGCAATAATATTAAGTAACTTCACATATATATATATTTTTTTTCCTTTCTAAAGTGTGACCTCCAGCACCTGTTCCCTGAGTCATATCTGAGATATCCTGGTGTCGTGTTTTATAAAATGTTATATCCAGAAGTCTCCGCAGTGCTTGGGCGTATTTATTGATCGTATACCATACTAATGTATTTGTAGATAGATAGATAGATAGTTAGATAGGTAGCTAGCTAGATAGATAGATAGATATGTAGGTAGATAGATAGATATGTAGGGAGCTAGCTAGATAGATAGATAGATATGTACGTAGCTAGATAGATAAATAAATAGACATAGGTAGGTAGATATATAGGATAGATGAGTGATAGGTAGATAGATAAATAGATAGACAGAAATGCAGATATATGAATAGATAAATAAATACAGAGTAATCTATGTGTGTATATATATAGATAGATAGGTAGAAACGTATATATACAGATGTTTACGTACATACATACATATATATTATACATACACATACACATACATAATACATACACATACATAATACATACACATACATAACACACACACATACATAACACACACACATACATAACACACACACATACATAACACACACACACACACACACACACACACACACACACACACACACACACACACACACACACACACACACACACACACACACACACACACACACACACACACACACACATACATATATAAACAGATAGCGAGGTATCTATATACAGCGAACTATTAACTATTTTTGTGAATTTCTGTTTAAATCCGGTCTCAAGTCAGTCGGACGTCACATTCATTCACTGATAATTTCTGCCAGCTGTTGCCAAAATGAGATGTTAATCCAATCAGCTGATGTCACGATCAGCTGTTGGCAGAATCAGCTGTTGATCCGATCAGCTGATCTCGCCTTTCGCATTCCAGCTAGGTATGTGCGTGTCTCGGGGTACGGCTGCCGTGCTCAACCTGTCGTGCTGTATGCTGGTGCTGCCCATGTGCCGTGCCCTCATCACCACGCTCTCTGGCTGCACGTCCTCACGTACCGCACGCCCGCGCCCGCCCTCCCTGCCCGCCGTCTTGGCTGCGCCCGCCACCCACGCCGCCAAGTCCACGCACATCATGATTGCTGTCACCATCGTTATTACGTCAGGTAGTTTTGCATGTCCGTGAGAAAGAGAGGGAGAGGGGAAAGGGGAGGGAGAGGGAGAGGGAGGAGGGAACGGGAGGGAGAGGGGGAAGGGGAGGGGGATGGAGAGGGAGAAAGGGAGGGAAAGGGAGAGGTAAATTGTTATATTTTAAAATAGCGTAAATCAGGATATTAAAAGCATTTTGTGTGTGTGTGTGTGTGTGTGTGTGCGTGTGTGTAATGTACATTTGCGTCAGCTGTAGTGTACATGTGACACTTAAATGAATGAAGAGATAGAAGAAAATGCAAGGAAAGGGAAGTAGTAAAACGGAAAATTATGGCTAATCTTCCGTTACCGAAAGACCGAATCGGAATATTTAAGATAAGAGAGGGAAGGAAAAGGAAAGAGAGTGAAGAGAGCAAAGGGAAAGAGGGAGAAAAGATAGATAAGAGAAACAGACAAGAGTAAAAGGGGAAAAAAAGAAAGGGAAAAGGTGAGAGAAGAAAGTAAAGTAAGGTTAGGCAAGGAAAGGAGAGAAAGAGAAAGCAGAAAAGACGTGAAGAGGAGAAGAAAAGAGAGAGGGATAATGAGGAGAAAAGAGAAGAGAGGAGAGAGGGATATTGAGAAGAAAAGAAAAAGGGAGAGAAAAGAAAAGTAATAAGAGGATGAGAGAAGAAGAGGAGAGGCGAGAAAAAAGGAAAGAAAGGAAAAACAGAAAAAAATGAGTCGGACATGCAATAAAACAGATGAAAACAGAACCAGACAAACAGAAAAAAAAGATAATACAATACATGCAAAACAGAGAAACACCTGAGAAAGGAAAAAAGCAGAAGAAGGAGGAAGGAGACGATGAAAGAGGAGGCGGAAGGAGAAGAAGAAGAAGAAACAACGCATACAAAAAGAAACACCTGAGAGACGGAAACAACAAGAAGAAGAAAAAGAAGGAGAAGAAATAAAGAAAGAAAGAAAACAAAGAAGGTAAAAAAGAAAACAAAGTGAAAGGACATTCCAAGAAGGAG